AATGGCGACTGTAAAAATAGAACAAGAGAAATAGCAGAAAAACCTTATGGAAACTGATTAGAGAAAACTTTATAATATTTGAATGAGTAGCATGAAGAAGAGAGTTGAAGATGTTTTTAAACATAAAGTGTGAACTATATAAAATTACCAATATTTGATTTCTTAAATCTGCCAAAGTGGCAATTTTATATGGTTCCTTGTAATACACACCTGCTGGAAATGGCTGCTCTCAAAAATAAATAATGGAATCAATGAGGAAGCAAGAATTTCAAGGTAGCAATATTAACAATTAAGTGAAGACAAAGGTTTAAGTGATTATAGGTATTTTGAGAGCTCTGTGATGGGAACAGAGTTAATTGTAGAACCGAGAACAAAAAGAATGAATGAATGAATGAATGAATGAGTGAGTAAATAAGGGCAAATTTTATGAATTATTTTTCTTTGAAATTTTAAACACGTATATTTTTATGTACTAACTGAAAGTCCAGATAAAACAATATGGCCTTTGAAACAGGAGTAGGTGCTTAACTCACATAGAGAAACTTTAGAAGATTGATTACCTCTTCAGACAGTTTAACCCTGACCTAAGCAATGGCTCAGTTTTGAATTATTTGGCTATTTAGCAAGAAAAAGTATTTTCGTGGATTTGAAAGGGAAGTATGTTTTCCCAACTTTTGTAGTCATTCTTATGTAAGCTATTAAGAGAATTAGACTCAATTAATTAAGAAAATAAAATAGCAAATACATGTACACACGCACACACAACTGATAAGAGAACACGTGAGATCTTTGGAAAGAAAGGCAGGTATATATAACAATGCAGTTTCGAAAAACCCAGTTTTGTTGAATTACCTTGAAAAATCTCTACTTTTCTTCAAGCAGATCTTATTGGTGAGTACTATATAAATTACCCCTAAATGGCCCACATTTGCTTTAGTAAGAAAGAAGATGAAGTTGGTGATGCTCTCAGCAAACCAGGGGTGGTAAGAGTCTCTGGGTGAAATCTCTCACAGATGCCTTCGAAAAAGATTTTGAGTCACCAGACCAGATCTTCAAGGAGGCATGCTACACTAAGTAGCACCAAGCAGCAGCTGAGGAAAGAAGCTTACATGTTTTAGAGTGGCAAATTGTCAGGTTGTTTCTGCTCATTTTCTATTCAAATTCACGTCCAGCGCTTCCTGAATACCACAGAAAACACTGGCCCTGTCTTCTCTAAGCTCAGCGAATGTGGGACAGGGGGCAAAGTAGAATGGGCTCATTCTCCAGGTTCTTTCTATTTGCATGCATATTTTATTGGGTTTTCAAAGAAGCAACTCATGAAGATCATAGAAGAACGTGTGTGTGTTTTGTAGGAATATTACATTTTAAGTTGTTTATGCTTATGGGGGTGAATAGGGTGAGATGTTTCATATATAATCCCACTCTGTGTCCCCCCTGGTTAGGTACTGTTGGCTTATTTAAAAGAAATTTAATTCTCAGTCTCTGAATTTGAGGGAGTTGGGAGATAAGTTGGAAAGATAAGCATCTATGCATACAATAATTAAAGAACAACAAAAACAGTTTAGTTCATTGTTGGAGAGTAAGAATTGTAGGGGTCTGAAAAGGGAGTTTCTTGTGAGCTGATATAGTCAGAAAGGGCTTCTTGGAAGAATGAGATTCACGTTTTAGAATTAAATTTCAATTACATTGACATATATTGAATATATACTATGCCAGTCTCTGTTCTCAGTAATGGAACTAAAATTTGAGTGTAAGAAACCACATTGGTGTCTACAGCCATGCTACCCTGAACAAGCCCGATCCTGTCTGATCTCGCAAGCTAAGCAGGGTCAGGCGTGGTTAGAACTTGGATGGGAGACCACTTAGGAACACCAGGTATTGTAGGCATAAAAAATAAAAAAATAAGGGATTGTAAACTGACAAGGTCTTTGTAATCTGTGAGGTCAACCAAGGGTTGCCTCGCCTAAAAAAATAAATAAATAAAAAAATAAAGAAACCACATTGATATAATTCTCTTTGTAGAGGTTAGGCAGAACTACTTAAAACTTTTTGATAATTGTTTTCCACCAAACAACATTATGACCACATTTTTTCTTTCTCTTTTAAAAACCAATTATTTCCTAACGTTTTCTTAGGTAAATTGTGATTCTCCTATGGACTTCTATACCTTCCGTAAGTGAGGATTTTGTTCAGCAAAATTTTCTCCTTTCTTGAGGCTATAGTTGGGGAAAGGAGTTCAAGGGTGCTTCTTCAAACAATGTGAGTCACCTAGCTCAGTAGCAGTTGTTCTAACAAGCAGATAGTTCAATTTTGCAGTTTGGGCTATCGAAAAATAATCCAGTACCATTTACCAGGTTGTTAGAGTCTCCAGTATTTATACCTCAAATAAACTTTTATGGCCAGTGTGCAGAGGGTTGCTTTCGTCTTTGGCTTGGATCCAGTCGCACAGAGTGGGAACATCATGATGTGTCATTAGAAATGCAATCCAAACTGCTCATCAGTTGAACCAGCTCATATTTAGTGAAGTCACATCTGCTTTATGTCTGTGTTTGTTCAAGGATAAAAGGAAAGAAGCACCAGGCCTCCTTTATGTTCCCACGTTTTCATCTAGCAGGCGAAGAGCATGGGAGGTCTGTTGTCCGTCATTCCTGGATAACATCAAAGCCTGCTTGTTCTGGTCATGCCGGCTGCTAATCTGTAGGCAGCATAGGCCTCTGTGACCCTTGAGAACATTTATAACGTTGCTACCTGGGAACTATTTCTCACTTCCGCAAAACATTGTATCCGAAAAAAGTTGCATCTACCATCATTTGGGTAACTCTTAACAGAAAACTTCGGACAATCTATAAATGAATAGCATTTTCCCTGCAACAGTATTTTCCTCCATACTTACATTTTCCTTTTAAAAGATCATAGTAACCACTTTCTAAATAAGGCCATATAGATGTCAAGACAATCAAGAAAAGAGAGTACATTTCCTTTTGCCTCATTGGTTTTGTTTTATTTTTGGGGCATATCACAAATAGAATCCAGTTAAATTGCAGGTTCCTGTGACCGTGTCTTAGATCTCCTGTTTCTGGTCAAACTGTTCCACACTTACGATAAAATATTCAGGTTGTATCAAAGATTGTGGGGTTTTATTCAGCAGCTAGGAATTAATATAACTGGTATTTATTCATTTCTTTTATTTATTCATCTGTGTGTTCATTCATTCAGGAAACATTCACTGAGCACCTACTAAGTGCCAGGCATTCATCAGGTGGTGATATACTATATAGAAAAATAAAGTAGGGTAACAAAGAGTGCAGGCTGGAAAGAGGTTGCTTTTTTATAGTGCAGGGAAGGCCTCACTGATCTTTGGGTCAAGGCCTGAAGTAGGGGAGAGAGTTGATTATACAGAAAATTTGGGGAAGAGGTGAAGGCAGAGGTACATCAAGGTTAAAGGCTCTGAAGTGGGGTGTCCTGGATAAGTGCCAGGACCAGTAAGCAGACAGAGTGGTTGGGGTGGGGCTAGGCAGTGGCCTGGGAGTAACAGGTGAGGTTGGGAAGGTCATTGGGGGTGACAGAGGCAGAGAGCCTTTGGAGGGTTTGAGCAGAGCTGACAGGACCTGACTTTGGAGAATCAACAGTCAGAGGGACAGAAGCAGAAAGAGGGAGACTTGTTAGCAGGCTATGGCTGTAGCCAGGTGACAAATTATGGTGGTTTTAGATTAGGTCAATGAGTTGGTAAGAAATCAGATTTTAGATGTATTTTAAATGTAGAACCTATATGGGTTAACTGAACACATATTGTGTGCTGGACACTATTCTCTGGGGTTTTTACATGACCATAGTGTTATAGAGTTCAGAGAAAAAATTTTCCCAGAAAATACTGTGCTAAAATACTTACATTCGATAAAATAAAGAGTAAGTGTAAGCTTAAGTGTTTCAAGTGTAAGCTTGATAAAGTTTTACATGTATACCTTCACATAGCCACCATCTAGTTCAAGATATAAAATATTTCCAGCTCTCGAGAGGTTTCCTCACGCCCTGCCCCCCGCGTCAGTTCCTCTACTAAAGTTAATCACTGTTTTTACCCTCATCACCATAGATTAGTTTTGTCTGTTTTTGAACTTTATATAAATGAAAACATATCATGTGTACTCTTTTTAAAATTAAAGTTTTTATTGCAATATAATTCACGTATTATAAAATTCACCATTGAAAGTGTACAATTCTGTGTTTTTTAATATATTCACAAGTTTGTACAACCATCACCACTTCCCAATTCCAGTACTTTTTCATCACCCGAAAAAGGTATACCCATTAGCATTTACTTCCCATTTCCCTCCTCCTTCTACTGCTGACAACCACTAATCTACTTTCTATTCCTGTGGATTTACCTATTCTGGACATTTCATATAAATGTAAACATATAAGCCTTTTGTGACTGACTTCTGTAGAGTAATGTTTTTAAGGTTTATCCATGTCATATCATGAATCGGTAAATCATTCCTTTTTATGGCTGAATAATATTCCATTGTGCGGTATACTACATTTGTTATGTATCTTCACTTAATGAAAATTTGGGTTGTTTACAGTGACTGGCTGTTATGAATAATGTTGCTATACACATTCATATACAGGTTTTTGTGTGGACATACGTTTTTAATTCTCTCGAGTCTCTACCTAGTCTATACATACTCTCTTATAGCTGGCTTCTTCTGTTTAACATTATGTCTGTGTAATTCACTGATGTTGCATGAAGCAGCAGTTCATTCTTTTTCTTTACTTCTTAGGATTCTGTTCAGTGGACATACCACAATTTATCCATTCTTTGACTGATGTACATTTGAGTGGTTTACAGTTTGGGGCTATGACAAATAGTACCACTGAATAATGTGAACATTCTTTACATGTCTTTCGCTGAGCAAAAGCCCTCATTTCTACTGGGCAAATACACAGAAGTCGGGTTGCTGGGTTGTTCTTCCTTTTCTTTATCTGTCTTTCTGCATCATGCCGGCATGCTTGTTTGCGTTGGTGCTGGGCACTCCCTTGGCTTCTTGCAGACATGTTGGTGGAGTTCCTCCCTGCCTGGGCACATATTTAGGATTGACACTTTTTTCTGTTCCTTCTAAAGCCTCTTGTAACAATCTTCTTCTTTCTTATGTAATTTTTTCCCCCTGTTGATTAATAGAGCAGTTTAGCTCATGGCTGCTCTGACTCACTATGTTTGTATAGTTACCAGCTTGAAAGTTTAAGATGGTGTATAATGGTGCATTCTCTTACAGTCATGGTTGCTATGGGTTTTTGAGGGGCCTAGATCCCTCTCAGAATCTGATAGAAAATCTGATAGAAAATGCACCAGTGAAGACACATGTTTTTCTTATACTTTTTAGGGGGTTTGTGGACCTGTATGAATCCCATCCAAATGTGGGTTTGTAGTTCCCAGATTAAGCACCTTCTCTATTTTGTAATGCCTTAAAAATTCAATACTCTATAACCCTCCCTGGATTCTTTAAAATCTTCTACTCCAAGCTGTCACTATCAAATGATGTAGAGCTATGAAGGACCATATATGCATAGATATAAGTCTGGCTAATGCAGAGATCCTGACCTAAGTGGCAAAAGAGGTAAGAATTACCAGCACTTAAAAGTCATTGTAATTGTTGTGGACTCCTCATTCTAAGTTCTTCTAGCATTTGAGAACTTTTCTAATTGTATCCTTTACAACATATGTTAAACTGCTAAACTAGAGATTCAAAGCAATACATTGCAGTTGAGCTGGATCCTCCCAGCCTCAGGAGACATCGCCTGGGCCACAGGGACAGCTGGTATCCAAGGAGGATGTGCATGTCCTCCCTCTATCCACCTCCCTCCCTGGGAGTCTTCCTTCCTCAAGTCCGGGTTTCCTGTCTCACATTTTCTTAATGGGTGAATAATTGGGTGCTACTCAAACACAGAGTCCATGGAAAGAAGATATATGGACCAAATGAAGTAGATAAATAGTCCATAATAAATTAGATCTTTTCCATAGAAAGATGATTTTTTTTGTTTAAAATTTATTGGTTTAAAATTTTTATATGAGTAATAAAAAGTACAAAGTAAAAACCATTTTTCCTCCTCTTCATGCCCACTTCCATTCCTCAAAGATAACCACTATTAAGAGTTTATCTTCCCAGAGTTTTTATCAAGCATATAAAAGCATGGTATAGATTTGTTTGTTTTTACAACACTGGGATCACATTACACAGTGTTGTGTAGCTTGCTTCTTCCATTTTGCAGGGTAGTGCAGACGTATTTCTCTGTGTATGTGCTGATCTACTTATCTCTTTCCTTATCTTTCTTTACTAATGCATATTTTCCTCTCCTTAATTTATTTTCAGAGTAAGCAGTTGGTACCTTAACCTCCAAAGACCAATAAGTATTTTTTATAACTATGAACTCATGGATTTAAAAATATTTGTGCTCTAATCCAATTCAGTCATTAATCTTGATGTTCGGATAGTCTCATCTTTGTTCAGTGGGAACCTCTTCAAGTCCATTTGGTGTGACTCAGTAGCCTTTTTTGCCTTCTTTACTTTCATGTATTCCAGGATATTCTTTTCTCCAAATTAAAATTAAATTTTGGATTATGCCCCAATTTTATTTCATGCTGTATTTAAGAAAATTTGCCTTGTTAGTTTTAATCAGATCTACTTGCTGCACTTCTGGGTATGCCTTATCAGTCAATCACCAAATATTTTTGAGAGCTACCACGTGCATGATGCCAGCTAGATCCTGTTATGTAGCAAACAAATCACGCTAGTCTTGTTCCTCCTATATCAAGTAAGCCACAACCCAAGCAACAAAAATAAATCCTTATGTCTTCAAAATGTTATTTTAAGAAAATTTATGGAAGATCCATGATCCATAGAAAAGTAAGCAATTGAAGGCCGTAAACAATATAGTAATTCATTTTTTTCAGTTTTATTGTGTAATAAATTACAAACAATAAAATTTACTCACTTTAAGTACTCATTTTAATGAGTTTTGGTGAATGTATACAGATGTGCAACTAACACTACAATCATACTTCCATTACTCTCAAAAGTTTCATCTTGCCTCTCTGTCTCCACCCTCATTTCCAGGCAACCAATGACTTTTGGATGATATAATTTTACTTTTGCTAGAATTTCATATAAATGGCATCACATAGATGTAGGCTTTTGTGTTTGGATTCTTTCATTTAGCATGGTGATTTTGAGATTCATCCACACTGTTGCATGTTGTAGTAATTCAGTCCTTTTTTTTTTTTTTTTGCTGAGTAGTATTCCATTGTTAGATGTACTACCACATTTAGAGTTGGATTGCCCCTCCCCCCCTGTTTTTTGGGGGCTATTATAAATAATGCTGATATGAATATTTGCACAAAAGGCTTTGAGTGGACATATGTTTTAATGCTCTTGAGAAATACCTTGGAATGGAATTGCTGAATCATATATTAAGTGTACATTTAACTTTGCAAGAAATTACCAAAATGTTTTTCAAAGTAGCTGAACCATTTTTCATTCATAAATGAATGGGCGTCTGACTGTATGTATGTATCATATATGGGAGTTCTGGTTGCCCTACATCCTCACCAACACACGGTATTGTTATTTAAAAAAATTTTTTTAGCCTTTTTAATGGGTGTATACTGGTGAGTAATTGTGGTTTTAATCTGCGTTTTCCTAATGACTAGTTAGGATCTTTTAATGTGCTTATTGGCCTTCTATATATTGTCTTTGTGATATGTCTGTTTATATCTTATTGGGTTGTGTGCATTCTTTAAATTGTAAGAGTACTTTATCTATTCTGGGTTCACGTCCTCTGTTAGATGTGTTTTGCTTTTGCAATTTAAGTTTAAGTAGAGTTTTGATAAGAAAATGTCCTATTTATCTATATTTTTATTTGAAATACAAAAGATTTAACCTTATCCAAAGAAACTAACAATGCATTTTAATTGCATTTTTATAATTATGAAAAGAAAGAAAAAACTAAAGCGTAAGTTCAGAGAAATGATAAAGGAAATTTTGGAAAAAGAGTGAAATAAGGGAGGTTAAAAGGAAGAAGATGATTAGGAAAACAGAAGGAAATAGAACAAAAAAGAATAGAATGAGAGAGAACCTAAGAAACGGAACAAGACAACATCAAACAACTTTAAAATTAAAGAGGAAATAAAGAATAGTTTGGAAAGAAGAAGAGAAAAAAAATGCAGGGAGAAGAAAATGCCATAACTGTTCCTTATATTTCCCACGTCCTATCTCCTGCGTCAGCCACTCTGCTTTCTTATCTGTACGTTCTCTACTTTTCATTTCCAGTCTGCTTTCTGGAAGTCCCACCTTTCCTTTCACTTCGCAGTTCTTCAGTATTTTACTGCTTTGCCTTTCAAGTGTAGAAAATAGCTGGGTTGTGTGTGTCCTTTCCATCTTTAGAGTATAAAAGCACAGACTTTGAAGTTAGTTGTTTGAATCCTAGCTCTGCTTCTTACTCTGTGACCGTGGGCAGAACCTAATCTTTAAGCACCAGCTTTGCCATCTGTAAAGTGGGAATAAAACTAGTACCTGTTCACGTTTTTCTATGAAAATGAAAGAATTTATGTGAATCTCTTACCACAATGTTTAACCATTCAATGTTAGCTGATATCAGTGTGTGTGTTTGTTTGTGTGTGCGTTGGGTGAGGAAGTTTTTCTTGGTTATCATTCCTTTTACCTTTGATTGTTCATCTTTTTTTTTTAATCTGGGAATATTTTACCAAACAAAAATACTTAAATGACAAACCAACATGCTTCTGATGCTCTGAGATATAAACACAACTGTATTTGTTCATCTGGGATGTAAAGTTAGGAGTAATAATAATGAATATTTACAGAGTACTTTAACTTTGAGTATTTTAAGCTAGTACTGACAGATGTTTGGTGGTAGAAGACTTTTACAGGGTCCGGGGCTGGAATTTCCTGATCTCTATAATAGATGCCAAACCAAACTACAGTGTGGTAAATACAGCTGAGGCAGGTGAGACTTCTGAGTTTTTATCAGTAAATACAGGACACGAACTCTATCCTTCATGCCAATCGCCTCTGCCACAATTCCCATCATGAAACAGAAGGTGGTGTTTGGAAGGGGCCTCCTTATCAAGGCAAAATCCCTTCTGCAGCATGTCGTGTCAGTCTCTGCCTGAACACTGCTGTTCAGGTTTACTTGTCTCTGATTAATTTGTATTTTTTTGACTTTTCCAACTGCTGGCAAGAGTTTCCTTACATTAAACAAAATTTTGCTCTGATTCTTAGCTCAATATAGAAAAAAATTTCTTTTCTCTTTTACATGTAGGTCTTCAGCTGTATACAGTGAGATTATGCCTTCTCTTTGTTTTCTCTGTTAGGCAGCATTTCCCAGTTCCTACTATTACTGATTTCTATATTTTGCTTGCTTTCTCGTTTGCCTAACTTCAGACACAGGCTACTTTGTTAGGGTGCCACTTAAAATGTGGCACCTGTAACTGAGCCTAATATTCCGGATGTGTATCATTGAGCCCAAATAGTCTGGATGTATTCCTACTTCCTGTGGTTGAAACTCCATTCTTCTGTTAATCAGCCTACAATGACTATGTCTGCTTTTTCAGCTCCCACATCATAGTATTCATTTTTTAAATATTTGGGGTGTTCATATACTTTATTGTTCAAACCAGCACACTTTTGAGAGTAAAAGAGGACACAGTTATTAATTAGGCTCAGGCAATAGGCATAAACCAGAATTTTTCTGGGCACACAGGGATGTATGGTCACTTTAATTATATTAAGTTGAACTCAAAGCTAAGATCTATGCCTTTAAAAAAAAACAAACAAAAAATGTTCTTAATAACCATGGTGTTCCCCTCGATAGTATATATAAGTAGTTGAATTTTTTCTGAACATAAACACAGAACTTCATATTTAGGCTTCTTTAGAGTTTAATAGTGTTAATGTTTTTCCTGTTATTGAAATCTAGATTTTTGTCTGTCAAATTAGCTATTTCTCCCCCTTCTTCTTCATCATTTGAAAATTTGATAAACAATTTTCCTGCATATTCTTAGCAGATGTTACCAGTCTAAACAATTCCTTCCCCAGATCCTTAGCACCAATGCACTTTACCCTCACAGAGCTTTCAGGCTCCTGTGGCAAATTGAGAACTGAGATCTTAGTGTGCTCCCTTCTCAGGTATTTGCATTTTAATAGGAGATAGACTGTAAGGCCTTTCAGAGCAGAAAGAACAGATATCTAATGATTGTTTCTCTGGTAACTTGGCAGGAGTTTCCTGCTGCTGATTCTGAGCATCTTACACATACCAAATAATAGATACTGAATGTAGTCTCATGCAAACAGGTTAACTAATAAATATAACATTTTATATTACAAACATAATATAAAAGATAACATTTGAGAGAGAGGTGCCATAGTAAAGGTAGAGGTCAGTCAGAGTGGGGGGTAAAAAGATTTTTAAAAGGTCATCTTCCTGTTCCATTGTAATTCCCTATATAAAAATTTTATGGGGCAACTAATAAAAGGATAGTTTTTATGGATTTCAGAAGTCATTGATTGAACAAAAGAAAGTTCTCTTGGTTATCTCAATTTCTTTTCCTCTTGCCCACAGGATTTCTCTCTCCCTCTCTATCTCTTTATGTATATATGTATATATACCTAAAATTAATTTAAATTTTTTCAGTTTCTTTAACCCTAACCTGTGCACATGTGACTTTCAAACACTTTTTATTGCAACTCTAAGAAATACATTTTACATTATGATCCACCATGCATATACATGCACACATATATGTATTCATATGTACACACACACCAGATACAAATTTCTTGAAAGAGTACCTGTTACTTGCAGCGTTCTCTATTTCCCTTCTCTTTCTTTTCTGTTCCATTCCATTCCATCTCATTTCACTCGACTCTATTCAAAAAAGATGATTGAGACTAAATAGATTGATCTTAAACCTGGTTTGCACAATTACAGTTTGTAAAACACTGCTCTAAAGTTATTGTCCATTGACACCTAAACTATTTATAGAGGTAGATGCTTTATGGTGATAATAATCAATGGAAAGCTAGTCTCACTTGGGCATAAATTAACAATAACAATAATTAGGACTCCATGATCTCCTTCGTTCTTATGGAAAAATCTCCACTCACAGAGGAGCTAGCACAACAAACTGATTTTGCTTTAGGTCTCCCATATGAGAATAGTAATTAATTCAGTCACTAGACAATCAACAGTAAGCAATTATTCAATCTAAATAACTCAATTATGTAACTATAACTTGGCATAAAATAGCTTATGTTACACTTTAAAAAAAAATTAGGCCAGAAGTTATTATTGTGATGCTAAAATTGTTTTAAAAAGGCAAGCCTATCTCTATAAAGTTAATTCACCTGTATTAACGGTTTAATTTTTTAGCTATTCAAAATAATTGCTTTCCAAGTGAAGGACTTGAGGCGTAAAATTCCCTGCCCAAGTGTTTCTAGCTTCTACTTCGCCAGTTCGATTGGGTCCTATTTACAGATAATCAGATAGTCTCTTTTAAATACATTTTTGGGTTCTTGTGGGAGAAGTTTATCACCTTTCGGAGTATGAAACCAGGGAAAAGCTAGACTATCATGTTGTATGTTTTAATTTAAGTGAACATACTTAGATGTATTTTTTTGTTTTAATTTGAGAAATATTGAGTGTCTTTTATTAAATGATGACGATGGGCTTTGGAGACACATTGATCTGGATTAAGTCTAAAAACTAGCTTTGAAACTGTAGGGTAGATCTGTAAAATGTTCCAAATTTCTCTTTCCTCATTTATAAAACTAATACTTACCTCAAAGAGTTTTTAGAAGAATTAAATCAGGTAATGTATGTGGTAACTTCTGATATATAGGAAATACTGTAGAAATATATACTTATAAATAAATAAAAATACAAATAAACATATAAAAATATGTGTATAACTATTATACATATGTTGTCCGCATATGTGTATGCATACACATATACGTATGCATATTAATACACACATTTATGTATGGACAAATTCATTTTCTTTTCTTTTAGACTTGATGTTTTTGTAGTGGGATTTAGAGACTTGCATATTGATTTCTGAGTCAGTCTGCTTATTACACTTTTTTGATTATCAGTGTTAATATGACACTTTGAGAATGAGAAAATTAATTGAAAAATTATACATTAGATAGAAATTTAACTTACATCTAGTGTAATGGTTTGCTTAATGCTAAAGTTAAACCTTGACAAGAATGAAAATTAGTATCAATGCATTTGAATTTTATTTTTCCTCCCTACTCCAAATGAAGCAAAAAATAGTTTCATTTCTTTTTCAGTATTTACTCATTAATGTATGCCTCAGGTAATTAATATTTCTTGAGACTAAGATTTTATAACATTCTTATGGATGTCTTAACATTTATTTAACTATATATACACATGTGGCATATTTTCCATGGAAAACCATTCATTAGTTTCTTTTGAGGTATTACAACTGATGCTTTTATATATATATCTTCATAATATTTTCTAGACGTTTTATTTGTTGCAAGACTGATAGTATAGAAACCTAGACAGATCTTATTTTCCGGCCAATGTTTTTTTCAAGGTTTATGCTTGCTAAATACATTAATAAATGCATAATAAATGTCTTAACAAACCAATCTTTAATTGACCAAATTATTGTGAGGAAAGAGGTAATCTTAGTATTTGGTAGTAAAAATGCTATTTTTTGAGGAGATCTTGTCATCATAATCAAATTGAAATGAGGTAGGGATGTCAGATGGATGATGTCTTAGGGTATTTAAGGCTGTTTTATAGAAGCCAGATTAGATTTGTTCTAAATGACCCCGAGGTGTATATGTGTAGAATTATGAACAGCGTTTCAGGTGAGACAGAGTTTGCTTCAATTTGACACACCTGCTCCCAAAAGGCGCATTGCATAGCGACAGAATATTGAATTGAGTTCAGAGGATCTTAGTTAAAATTCCTTACCAACTTGTGGACTTAAGAAAAGTCTTAGTTTCCTTCTCTGGAACATGGAGAAAATGATCCTTAAAACGGTTATTGGGAAGATCAAATGATCTTTATTATCAACATGTAGTGCTCTTTATAGATTACAAAGTGCTCCATGGTCGTAAACTGTACTGAGCAAACCAAATCATATTAATGTCCCTACAACCCAGAGACCAGAGAGTTACCTGTCAGGCATTCGAGCACCCTGTGTGTGGTTGAACTTGTTCATATTTATAATTTATTTTAATCTAGAGATCCTATCACAAAGGATGTAGGCAACTCACTCTTTATTTCAGAGAAGGGAAAGGTCAGATTTTTATCGGAAGCTCCTTTGAGTTCTAACATTTTAGTAGTCTACAAGCCAGTAACTACAAAGGTCCATTTCTCTCCCTCTTCAGTATTAAAATAGTTAACTTTTGCCTAGAGAAAGTTATCCTGCAGTATTCATGGTTGCCCATGCACGTGTTGTGATACATTTAAATGTTTCTTAAACCTGTAATAAATTCATCTTTGGCCTTTTTAAATTCTAGAAAACACTTTCCCTCTTAGATACCCTCCCTACACTTGCCTTATGCTATGATCACAGGAGGTAGAAGTTTAGTTAGAACTTTGTACTTAAGCTAAGAGTTTTACACAAACACTCTGCTTCAGGATGCGTTTCTTAGGAAAAGTGAAAAACAGAGCTACAGCGATATTTTAGGCTTGTGAGTCCCTCTCCCCTGACCAGTTCTGAATTCTAATTGCCCTTGTCTGCCTGTTCCTTACCCCAGGGAGCGTTTGCTTACCACTTTCCGTTTTATCACTGGGAAGGTCCCATTGTCTTCATTTGAACTCTGCTGCATCCTGTTTATATCATAAAGAGAGAAAGAAAAGCTCCAGATGCCCTCCCTCCCCACCTTTCTCCACGTGGAGATAATAAAGCCCTTGGCAACCACTTTCTCTGTAATCAGTATGAGGTAATTTTACAAGCTACCATGAAAGAGCCGTTTGTTGAATGCCCGCTTTGTGACAGACATTCGCTGATGATTTAATATGTCTTGCCTCATTTAAACCTTACATCTTTAGGAGGGAAGAGAAATGAAACAGAAAGTGTTCCTTCCACCATTACCAGAGGAAGTTGCTGGCCACTATGTAACTTGAACTTTACATAGAATAGCCCCACGTGGAGTTCTCTAGACAGTTCTGGGGTGAAGAAATTGCATTAAATACAAATAAGAAAATGCTTTTGTAGGTACAAAGCAAAACATTTCAAAGCTACTTAGATAGGTATTGTAAGTGGAGGTTTTGACTGGTTTCCTGCCAGATTTACCCAGAATCATGTGGGAAGATTAGTTATTTGATTTATAGCGTTACATGCCGTACATTTTGTGCTCCACACCATTTGAATGGCTTTCCTATTCCTTCCATCCACTAGCATTTATAAGCCTGCTAAAGATGCCGCTGACTCTTTCAGTTTAAAGTAAACACTTCTGGGCTGAATTTCCTTCCACAGTTGTAAAAATATAAAAATAAATGTTCTAATTCTAAGGCACTGTTCTTATAATATTGCCTGACTAAACAGAGCACATTTTGTCATATCTGACATTTCTGAACTTCTGTAATTCTGCAAAATTGTTGACCTCAGGTCTTAAGATGAAGCTTTTAAAAAATTTTTTAACTCAAATTACTTCCTTTTATTTGTGCTTTTGGTGTTTGCTCTGTGAGGCCAACCTTTCCTTTTTAATTATTATTTGAGTCTTGAATTGCTGAAAAGATTGCTGTTACCTAATTAACAAACAACACCGCGACCCTTTCTAATTGGAAACCCCCCTAAAACTTATTTGTTAGCAGTATGTACACCTCTAATGTTCGAGAATGAGCAGGCCAAGGGACACTAGAGAGTTCATTTTAGAAGAAGGGTGAGTAGGGCAGATGAGAGTGTACAGCTCTGAGATAGTTGGATTCCTGCTTGCTGAAAAAGTGTGGGAGGCTTGTCCAGGGTTGTACCCATGTTGGTGTTAGTGATTATATTTGCGTATTTTAAAATGTATTACGAGGTAATGGAGGTTGCATCCACTACTCACTGCCATGCTGTTGCAGGATATTTGAGAATTTTTATACAAAAATATATTGTGGCATCTTAAACCGAAGAGGCAAACACCTTTTTGTGAACTGGACACTTTTGGTTCAGGTTTAACCTGACAACTCTACTTTTTGTTGCTTTTTGCTGAGAGCTCTGTAATGGTTTAGTCATCTCTTAGTGAAGCTAGTGCTGGACAAATGAAACAATATGAATAGTAATACCTTGCATTTATAATAGGGCTTTAAAGTTCATGGAATACTTTCACATAGATTATCTCTTTGCATATCTCAGCAGCCCTGTGGATTAGGTGTGGCAGGTATTATTAATACTTTAATTGTGCAATAAATTGAGAATCAGATAAAATATGTGACTAGTGCAAGACCAGTATATTTTTTTCTAAAAGAGGCAGAGAGAATTAAACACACACACACAAACACAGAAACACACAAACACCCATTACCATCACCACCATCAACAAAAGCATTTTTACAAAAGTCTGTGTGTGCTCTACATTCCCTCCCGTCAACCGAAATAGTTCTGCAATATTAGTTTCCATGCATAATCAGATTGGTTATTTACTATTATATAAAATGAGATGCCACCTGTGGGAGGTTGCTGTGGAGGACCAAATACTAAGCCCTGCAACTAGAAAGGGCTTTTGAAATCTAAGGCTTTGTGTCTCAGAGTGGGTGGAAGCTCGTTCATTTATCCAACTTCACTTTTCCTCTCCCTCACCTTTCCCCACTGTACATCTAAGATATTATTAAGCCTGTTGATTCTGCTGTTTTCTTTGAAATCTCTGGCTACTTTACAATTACCATACAGTCTAAATTCAAATCCTCACTGTTTCCCAGAATGCTGACAGTGGGCTTTCGTGCTGGTCTTCTTGCCAGTCTGTTTACGTCACCTTTCACGTGGTGTAAGAGCTTAAAACGCTTTAAGAGTTTGACATCTTCTATGAGATAAAGTCCATACGCTTTACCCTAGCACATAGCTCTATGCAGACCCTGACTTCACATCAGTCCGTTTTCATTTCACAGCCTGGGCCATAGTTTCTCTGCAAGGTTAGCAGGTCCCTCAGCATTTGCCTTCTCTGCCTTTGTGCCGCCTTTGGCTCTTTTTGAAATACCCTGCCCTTCTGAGCTCTTGAAGCCCCTTGTCAATGTGCTAAATTGGGATTGGTTCCTCAAAACTTGGCCTGTGTCTTCTTCTTTGGGAAGGCTTTCTGGCTTCTTCTGGGAAGCTGGCTACATGCGTCTTTGTGTTCCACAGCACCTCTCCATAGTTCCATTGTGAAACTTTAATACATGGTGGATGCCTGTCTTACCCACTAGGCTGTGAGCTTTTTGAGGAGAGGGTCTGAGTTTTAGCAATCAGAAGCACAGCCTGACCAGTAAGCCTGGGTTAGATGAATGTTTTGCTTCACTTCACAATAACTTCAACCACAAGGATCAGGACCATGACATGCACACTTTCTTTGCTAGCTACCCAAATATACCTCTAAAAAGGAGTGCTATGGAGGTGGTCTAGAATTTAGGAAAATTATTTTCATTGTCAAAGAGTATTTCCTAATGAACTTAATTAGGAATTTGAAGAATTCCTAATGGAGAAGAACACAATTTATTCCTTTCACACATGAAGAAATTCAGAAATATAGACTACAGATTAGAGTTTATTTCTACTTGAATAAGGATTTTAGTTTTTGCTGCACTGAATTTGGAGACTTGCTTAATATAGGATGGTCAAAATAGTCTGCGTTAAATTGAGAGCACTCTTTGGAGATACCTGTAAACAATCTCCAAATTTGTTCTTGAAAAAAATTTGTATGTTCTTTGTAGTTGCTAACATACAGAAAATAATTTTTAGGGCGTATAAGATATGTTGTGAAGGAAAACAGTTTTCAGGTCTGGTTATTTGGTTTTCACACGTATGTACCAAGTGGTGATTCCTGTGTCATATTGTAATTGTGATTGTTTCTCAGCCTACTTTTGGTAGTTAGAAGGTGTCTGTTTTTTGCTACCTATAAAATATTTAATCATCTACATCAATAACTTTTAAACCAGAAATTAATAATTAGTTTTCTATGTAGCTTCATGTGTGAATGGGGGAGAGAGGAAGAGGCAATCAATAAAATTAGCGTTTATAATTACAGACTATATTTAAAAAGTTATTATTTCTTCTGAATTTTTAAAATTCCTCCAAAAATTTGCAGTCACAAGTAAATGAAATTTGAAGAGATCAAATCCATCTTAATTTTATAATTAATTTAAAGACAATAATAAAATGAGCATGTATAATACAGTAAAAAAAATGTGGCTTAAATGGATATTTGAGTTGATTGAGTTTTATTTTGTGATACCTATTAGAAAAATAAGAATGATCCTAAATATTACGGCAGCAACCAAAATAAATTCGTCATGTCGAATTCATACAATATTTTGTAAGAAAAATGAAAATAATATTTGGATAATCTATATCATTACTCTTTTATAATAGAATATTGGGAATTAACATTTGTTTTAGATTGTAATCCATTCCACAAACATGCAGAATCATTAGCATATGGAAGAATTCTTTAGACAAGCTTCTATTTTCCTCATTAAAAAGAAAAAACATATTTTGCTTTTCGATCTTGACATATCATTATGTTATTTCACTGCAATTTCCTATCTTGATATTGAGTAGTAGAGTTCAGACTATAATCTTTTTTTTTTTTTTTTTTTTGGTAAACATCTGTGTTTAAAATAGATGAACCTTTTTTGTTTTTGTTTTGCTTTGTGTCTTCCTTATAACACACTGCATCTCAGATTTCTATATCATATTCATTTCAGTTATGTGGAAACTTACGGAATGAATGACTGAAATGTGATTGTTGTGATTACTCTGATTCTATGTTTTTCGTTCCTTTGATATCAAAGATAGATACCATTAGTAAGTTATTCATTGTGCAAGGTTAGGTAAGGCAGAGAAAATCACTAACATCATTCAATTTGCTTTTTGAGACCAGGTACTCCATTATAATTAAGAAGTGCCTTCTAATATAATGATTGCATTGGTTCGATTTCTCTATAAATTGTACGAATTAAAGTATCCTTTAAGAAACTTAAACTAATGAAGAAGTGGGTATTGTACAGTTTAAAAAGTTATTCGAAAAGGGTGTTATAGAGAAAATTTAAGAGTTGGTTGGAGGATGGGCTAGATAACCTTTAAATGTTCTTTATTCTCAGGGATTCTGAGATTCCGATGCTAGGCTAAAAGAAAATCTAAGAAATGCTGGTCACCTTAGTTACAGTGTTTTTGTTTGTTGTTTTGTCATAGACTGCCTCTTTAAGGTATGTCCTATGAATCGATATTCTGCCCAGAAACAATATTGGAAAGCTAAGCAAGCCAAACAAGGGAACCACACAGAGGCAGCCTTGCTGAAGAAATTACAGGTAAGGGCCAGAATTTGATTTGTCTGGTTTAGGCTAGACCAGGTACAGCAACAACAAAAGCTTGGTGATTTTACTCAATACACAGGGATTTACAATAGTTGTAGCAACACATTGAAACTGGAAGGGACTTTTAATGTATAGGAGATGACTACTGATTTCTTGGTGTGTAGGTAATACATTTCTGCTGCTACTTTTTAGAGATCACTTCAAACTGGAAACCAATTCAAAATCTCTATAGGAATATCAAATCCAGTTATATTTTACTTGGCATAGTACTAAATTTTTTTTCGAAAGGCTATGGAAAAAAAAGGTGTGGTGTTTCTGCTTTGGGCTGAGTGTCAATTTGATAGAACTTAATTTGTGTCATTAAAATTT